TTGTATAAACATTCTATTATAATAATAATAATAAGTTACATTGTATAAACATACTATTATAATAATAATAAAGATACATTGTATAAACATTCTATAATAATAACAATAAGATACATTCTATAATCATGTTTCAGTATTTTGGTACAATTAATGTTTAATGATGTATATACTGGGCTTGTTTAGAAAAGCTGGATTCACCTCCACTCCCTGCACTCACCGACTGCACTCACCCACCTGGATTCACATCCACTCCACAGCCCCCCACCCCCTACTTACACTCAGTAACACATGTATACTAATACAGTCACACTCCATTTCCAGCCCCCATTACCTGGCCGCAGTAGATTTGTACCTGTTGGATGGATCTAGATCCGTGAGGAGGGAGCAGTATATTTGTACATGGCGGCTGGATCTTAATCCGTGAGGGGGCAGTACATTTGTACATGGCGGGTGGATCTACATCCATGAGGGGGGCAGTAGATTTGTACATGGCGGCTGGATGGCCGTGGGGGGGCAGTAGGTATTTACATGGCGGGTGGATCTTGATTCGTGAGGGGGGGGCAGTAGGTATTTACATGGCGAGTGGATCTAAATCCGTGAGACAGGGGGCAGTAGATGTGTACATAGCGGGAGGATCTAGATCCATGGGGGACCAGTAGATTTGTACATGGTGAGCTGGTCTTGATCCGTGGGGGGGCAGTAGATTTGTACACGGCGAGAACTCAGCTAACTATTATTTTTCTTTTGTGCAGGTGCGTGCCAGTGCTATCGCCCAGGATGCTGACCAGAATTATGACTACGCAAGTAATAGTGTGGTCCTTCATTTGGATGCGGGAGATGAAATCTATGTCAAACTGGATGGCGGAAAAGCCCATGGAGGAAACAACAATAAGTACAGCACCTTCTCTGGTTTTATTCTCTACCCAGACTAAATGGTCTCCATGGACCACCCGGCAGTGGGCTTTATTCTATTTGCATTTCATTGGCAGACACTGGTGGTGATCATGGTTTTTAATGAGTTGTACATTACCACAGAAAACCAGCAAAGGATTAACATTCTGCTGGAGATGCTGGTTTTCTGGTTGGAGTTTATCATCTTGAGATCAAGACAGAGTGTCCTCTGTAGAGACTTCATTTGTCTTCTTTGGAGGATCTCTCACACTTTCTCCAAATTCATTCGACCTCTGTAATAATGAAACCTTATGCAGTAACCATGCCTACCTTTGATGCCACCATAATCATCATCTACGGATACATGGATTCACTGATAAGACATGGCAAGAGCCACCACAAACATTTGAGACAAACCATCCATAGAGGCCGTGGCAGCTGCTTAATCTTTAACGAGAACATGCTAACAAGCGAATAAGACTGTGCTCCACAAAGCCATACTCCATATTCACACAGCACAAAGAAACCCAATAATTTGCTTGGGAAATAGACTTCCTCCATGTTTCCATCTCTTGTTCACTCTGTCTTCTCTGTTTGCTGTGTCCTCTCTGTTTGCTGTGTCCTCTCTCTTTGCTGTGTCCTCTCTCTTTGCTGTGTCCTCTCTGTTTGCTGTGTCCTCTCTCTTTGCTGTGTCCTCTCTCTTTGCTGTGTCCTCTCTCTTTGCTGTGTCCTCTCTCTTTGCTGTGTCCTCTCTCTTTGCGGTGTCCTCTCTGTTCGCTCTGTCCTCTCTGTTCGCTCTGTCCTCTCTGTTCGCTCTGTCCTCTCTGTTCGCTCTGTCCTCTCTGTCCTCTCTGTTCTCTCTGTCCTCTCTGTTTGCTCTGTCCTCTCTGTTCGCTCTGTCCTCTCTTTTTGCTTTGTCCTCTCTTTTTGCTTTGTCCTCTCTGTTCGCTCTGTCCTCTCTGTTCGCTCTGTCCTCTCTTTTCGCTCTGTCCTCTCTGTTCGCTCTGTCCTCTCTGTTCGCTCTGTCCTCTCTGTTCGCTCTGTCCTCTCTTTTTGCTTTGTCCTCTCTTTTTGCTTTGTCCTCTCTTTTTGCTTTGTCCTCTCTGTTCGCTTTGTCCTCTCTTTTCGCTCTGTCCTCTCTTTTCGCTCTGTCCTCTCTTTTCGCTCTGTCTTCTCTTTTCGCTCTGTCCTCTCTTTTCGCTCTGTCCTCACTGTTCGCTCTGTCCTCACTGTTCGCTCTGTCCTCACTGTTCGCTCTGTCCTCACTGTTCGCTCTGTTCTCACTGTTCGCTCTGTCCTCACTGTTCGCTCTGTCCTCTCTGTTCGCTCTGTTCGCTCTGTCCTCTCTCTTTGCTCTGTCCTCTCTCTTTGCTCTGTCCTCTCTGTTTGCTCTGTCCTCTCTGTTTGCTCTGTCCTCTCTGTTCGCTCTGTCCTCTCTGTTTGCTCTGTCCTCTCTTTTCGCTTTGTCCTCTCTCTTTGCTGTGTCCTAACTGTTGTGCAGTGAATGTGCATTTCAATGTCCAACCATTCAGGCCATTTGTGTGGATTGGAGTAAATATAACTCACTCACAGTATGCTGGTTAGTCCATTGTGTAGACCTAGAGTGTTTGTTTAATTTTACTTGTGTAATTGCTGTTGGAGAAGACAGCATGAGCGCTGGTACTTTAGATGGGCATTTGAAGATCCACACTTTTTGTAGATCTAGACAGATTCCGAGCTGGAATGATCATGTGTTTGTCATGTCTGTCTTACAGCATATTAAACTCAATTTTTAGACAATATTGTCCGTGTTTATTAATGTTGTTTTAGAAAAAGATTGCTAACGGGCTGTGACGGGGTTTATTTAGGGATATGGGGTACAGCAGGGGAGAACATGGTGCAGGAAAGTGTAGTGAAACATGTTCTAGGTAAACCTATTTATTTATTGTCTTTTACCGTCATAGTGTGCATCGAGCTGGGTCATAATGTAGATATAGCCATATATTAGCACAAGGCCTGATATTGACAGACTGCAATGCGGATATCACGTTGGATTAATGCACTAAATCCGCACAGCATAATATATCGATAAGAAAAGTCAGTGTGAAATCAGAACTGGCTTTACATTCTATGCATTCCATATTCTGTATATACAATAACAATTTCTAACTTGAAGTGTGGAGATTTAGGAATTGAAATGAAGGGATATCCACTGACTATTTGCAAATGCGACTCTCTAACAATAAAGTTAAAAGGTTTTAGGCAAAACAGGTGCGAGACCTGCTTGATATGGATCCCTATTGGCTACTAATCCTTCCTAACTTATTCTGCCCCTTCACCTGATAAGATGCAGCTTAGATACAAAGCCTTTGGTTTAAATGTAAAAATGAGAATTGACAGACGGGAAGACGGGGAGCAGCAGACATCCCGGAGCGGTGCACTCGCACTCTGCGTTAAGAAGCAATTTATACTTCAAGCTCAGACTGGGCAGCAGAGATGCCTTGCTGGGGAATGTGAGTGTTACACTGCAAATCTGTATTCCCACCAGGGGCCCGCAGCTCCCATTCTAATGCTGGTCTTGTTGTGAGAGTCTGCCACGGTGGCAGCAGCTTATGGGGTGATGGATTGATGAGAAAGGGGGGAGGTAGGGGTCCAACACGGCAGCACAGCTGATGTTATGAGCATATAATAATAATAATAAAATAATAATAATAATAATAATAATAATAAAATAATAATAAAATAATAATAATAAAATAATAATAATAATAATAATAAAATAATAATAATAAAATAATAATAATAATTAGCCACGTCACGACACCCAGCACTGGGACATAGTTGTAATCAGGCTGGATTATTAGCACAATGGCTTAAAGGCAAAGCAGGGCCAGGACTGGAACTAGCTCATGGTGAGGACTGGAACTAGCTCATGGTGAGGACTGGAACTAGCTCATGGTGAGGACTGGAACTAGCTCGGGGTGAGGACTGGAACTAGCTCGGGGTGAGGACTGGAACTAGCTCATGGTGAGGACTGGAACTAGCTCATGGTGAGGACTGGAACTAGCTCATGGTGAGGACTGGAACTAGCTCGGGGTGAGGACTGGAACTAGCTCATGGTGAGGACTGGAACTAGCTCATGGGAGGACTGGAACTAGCTCGGGGTGAGGACTGGAACTAGCTCAGGGTGAGGACTGGAACTAGCTCGGGGTGAGGACTGGAACTAGCTCGGGGTGAGGACTGGAACTAGCTCTAGGGATGAGGACTGGGAACTGATTTGGGGTCAGGACTCTATGGTGAGGACTGGAACTAGCTCAGGGTGAGGACTGGAACTAGCTCGGGGTGAGGACTGGAACTAGCTCATGGCGAGGACTGGAACTAGCTCATGGTGAGGACTGGAACTAGCTCATGGTGAGGACTGGAACTAGCTCATGGTGAGGACTGGAACTAGCTCATGGTTAGGACTGGAACTAGCTCAGGGTGAGGACTGGAACTAGTTTGGGGTGAGGACTGGAACTAGCTCGTGGTGAGGACTGGAACTAGCTCAGGACTGGAACTAGCTCTGGCAGGACTGGAACTATCTCGGGGTGAGGACTGGAACTAGCTCGGGGTGAGGACTGGAACTAGCTCGGGATGAGGACTGGAACTAGCTCGGGGTGAGGACTGGAATTAGTTTGGGGTCAGGACTGAAACTAGTTTAGGGTGAGGACTGGAACTAGCTCGGGGTGAGGACTGGAACTAGTTCGGGGTGAGGACTGGAACTATCTCAGGGAGAGAATTGCAACTAGCTCAGGGTGAGGACTGGAACTAGCTCAGGGTAAGGATTGCAACTAGCTCAGGGTGAGGACTGGAACTAGCTCAGGGTGAGGATTGCAACTAGCTCGGGGTGAGGACTGGAACTAGCTCGGGGTGAGGACTGGAACTAGCTCGGGGTGAGGACTGGAACTAGCTCAGGGTGAGGACTGGAACTAGCTCGGGGTGAGGACTGGAACTAGCTCGGGGTGAGGACTGGAACTAGCTCAGGGTGAGGACTGGAACTAGCTCATGGTGAGGACTGGAACTAGCTCATGGTGAGGACTGGAACTAGCTCATGGTGAGGACTGGAACTAGCTCATGGTGAGGACTGGAACTAGCTCAGGGTGAGGACTGGAACTAGTTTGGGGTCAGGACTGGAACTAGCTGGGTGTCAGGACTGGAACTAGCTCAGGGTGAGGACTGGAACTAGCTCGGGGTGAGGACTGGAACTAGCTCGGGGTGAGGACTGGAACTAGCTCGGGATGAGGACTGGAACTAGCTCGGGGTGAGGACTGGAATTAGTTTGGGGTCAGGACTGAAACTAGTTTAGGGTGAGGACTGGAACTAGCTCGGGGTGAGGACTGGAACTAGTTCGGGGTGAGGACTGGAACTAGCTCAGGGTGAGGACTGGAACTAGCTCGGGGTGAGGATTGCAACTAGCTCGGGGTGAGGACTGCAACTAGCTCGGGGTGAGGACTGCAGCTAGCTCAGGGTGAGACTGGAACTAGCTCAGGGGTGAGGACTGGAACTAGTTTGGGGTGAGACTGGAACTAGCTTTCGGGGTGAGACTGGAACTGGATTTGGGGTCAGGACTGGAACTAGCTGGGTGTCAGGACTGGAACTAGCTCAGGGTCAGGACTGGAACTAGCTCGGGGTGAGGACTGGAACTAGCTCGGGATGAGGACTGGAACTAGCTCGGGGTGAGGACTGGAATTAGTTTGGGGTCAGGACTGAAACTAGTTTAGGGTGAGGACTGGAACTAGCTCAGGGTGAGGACTGGAACTAGCTCGGGGCGAGGACTGGAACTAGCTCATGGCGAGGACTGGAACTAGCTCATGGTGAGGACTGGAACTAGCTCAGGGGTAGGATTGCAGCAGCTCAGGGGTGAGGACTGGAACTTAGCTCCAGGGTGAGTTGGAACTAGCTCGGGGTGAGGACTGGAACTAGCTCGGGGTGAGGACTGGAACTAGCTCGGGGTGAGGATTGCAACTAGCTCGGGGTGAGGACTGGAACTAGCTCAGGGAGAGAATTGCAACTAGCTCAGGGTGAGCACTGGAACTAGCTCAGGGTAAGGATTGCAACTAGCTCATGGTGAGGACTGGAACTAGCTCGGGGTGAGGACTGCAACTAGCTCATGGTGAGGACTGGAACTAGCTCGGGGTGAGGACTGCAACTAGCTCGGGGTGAGGACTGGAACTAGCTCAGGGTGAGGACTGGAACTAGCTCGGGGTGAGATTGCAACTAGCTCAGGGTGAGGACTGGAACTAGCTCGGGGTGAGATTGCAACTAGCTCAGGGTGAGGACTGGAACTAGGTCGGGGTGAGATTGCAACTAGGTCGGGGTGAGATTGCAACTAGCTCGGGGTGAGGACTGCAACTAGGTCGGGGTGAGGACTGGAACTAGCTCGGGGTGAGGACTGGAACTAGCTCAGGGTGAGTCCCAATTGCACAAACAGAGCCTTTTACATTATATTTCACAGGGGCCATAGTCTGTGGACAGGAGGCTGGCAAGCAGGCTCCTCCAGGAGTAGTTTTTTAATATTAAACTCTAGGCATTTAAAACATCTAAATAAATTCAGGCACGCACAATTTGTCGCAATAACAATGAGAATACAAAGAGTGCACTTTCTAGTGCTGGAAAGACATTCCGCAATGTTTCCGTCACACACAGTGATATCCGAGTGTCCTGTTAACAGTTATATAATGCTTTATGGAAAGGCTTCCATTTGCTGCTGTCTCAGTTATTTACCCCCGGGGCAGTAATTGCTGGCCAGGCGGGGGAACTGATTAGCGCTCAGAAATCCAGTTATTAAAAGACCCCAGTTGCAGTTTTTGTTTGTTGCAAAGCGCAGCTGAATTGTTTGAGTGGAATGACTGATGACGGCCAGGATTAAGCAATAAAAAAAGCTCTGTGTATGGTTTGGGTTCCAGTAAAAACTCCCAGTGTCTGACCATCGATGGTTTGAGAGGAGGCCGAGGGGCCGTACTGGCAGACGGGAGAGAACAAACAATGTTCCCCGTACCATGTCTGACTCCCATTGCGAGGTTTCATAATTATTGTCTTGTTTGTCTGAATCTTCAGTGATTTGTCATGATTTACTAAGATAATTTGTGATGTTATCTGCCACGATCCACAAGAATTCACTATGATCCATAATGATTTACCAATGGTTTCTAAGGATCTACCATGAATGCCATTTATAAATAGAAACAGCCCCAAATAACTACGGGACGGAAACAGGAAATTGTTTACAAATAAAAGCTGTGAACTGGGTTCATTGTATTGTTCTAATACCATGCCAGCAGCCAACGAGTTTAACAATGAATCTGTACATATGGGTCCCCCGATTGGTCCCGATTGTTTTGCACTCTGGCGCAGACGCACACAGAACGCACACACAGGCAGCGCAGTCATTAAATAAACTGCGAATCTGCAGAGAGAAAATTCTAAGAATTCAGCACTATTCTACATCTCGGCCTCTGAGCTGCCCATATTGGATCACTGAATACAAGTTTCAGTCATTTTCACTGGGCCATAAATCTGTATTTTTAGACTTGTTTTGCCACAGATCACAGTGATTAGCAATGTGCAGAGGCAGACCACAAGGTACAGTTTAATATGGGTGCGAAGAAGATCACAGAATAACAAACAAACACATTTATCAGAGAGAAACATTCGGTATTTCTCAAGGAAGACGATAAATGACTCTTTGTGTCTGCGGTGGGATGGAGAATGAAAAGATTTATCAGTGTAAAGGACAATTTTTTAAAATATCCCAAGATCCTCCTGCTCGTCCCTGGAGTACTGGAGTCAAGTGCTGTGTAAAGCAACTTGCAGCAAACTCACAGCCAACATTCAGTCACAAACTCACAGCCATCATTCATTCACAAACTCATAGCCATCATTCATTCACAAACTCACAGCCATCATTTACAAACTCACAGCCAACAGTTACAAACTCACAGCCATCATTCATTCACAAACTCACAGCCATCATTCAGTCACAAACTCACAGCCAACATTCAGGCACAAACTCACAGCCATCATTCATTCACAAACTCACAGCCATCGTTTACAAACTCACAGCCATCGTTTACAAACTCACAGCCATCATTCAGTCACAAACTCACAGCCATCATTCATTCACAAACTCACAGCCATCGTTTACAAACTCACAGCCATCGTTTACAAACTCACAGCCAACAGTTACAAACTCACAGCCATCATTCATTCACAAACTCACAGCCATCGTTTACAAACTCACAGCCAACAGTTACAAACTCACAGCCATCATTCAATCACAAACTCATAGCCATCATTCATTCACAAACTCACAGCCATCATTCACAAACTCACAGCCATCGTTTACAAACTCACAGCCAACAGTTACAAACTCACAGCCATCATTCACAAACTCACAGCCATCGTTTACAAACTCACAGCCATCATTCATTCACAAACACACAGCCATCAATCACAAACTCACAGCCATCATTCAGTCACAAATTCATAGCCATCATTCATTCACAAACTCACAGCCATCGTTTACAAACTCACAGCCATCGTTTACAAACTCACAGCCAACAGTTACAAACTCACAGCCATCATTCATTCACAAACTCACAGCCATCGTTTACAAACTCACAGCCAACAGTTACAAACTCACAGCCATCAGTCAATCACAAACTCATAGCCATCATTCATTCACAAACTCACAGCCATCATTCACAAACTCACAGCCATCATTCAGTCACAAACTCATAGCCATCATTCATTCACAAACTCACAGCCATCGTTTACAAACTCACAGCCATCGTTTACAAACTCACAGCCAACAGTTACAAACTCACAGCCATCATTCACAAACTCACAGCCATCGTTTACAAACTCACAGCCATCATTCATTCACAAACTCACAGCCATCGTTTACAAACTCACAGCCATCATTCAGTCACAAACTCACAGCCATTATTCAGTCACAAACTCACAGCCATCATTCAGTCACAAACTCATAGCCATCATTCATTCACAAACTCACAGCCATCGTTTACAAACTCACAGCCATCATTCAGTCACAAACTCATAGCCATCATTCATTCACAAACTCACAGCCATCGTTTACAAACTCACAGCCATCGTTTACAAACTCACAGCCAACAGTTACAAACTCATAGCCATCATTCATTCACAAACTCACAGCCATCGTTTACAAACTCACAGGAATTATACAGTCACAAACTCACAGCCATCATTCATTTACAAACTCACAGTCATCATTCATTTACAAACTCAACGCCATTGTTTACAAACTCACAGCCAACAGTTACAAACTCACAGCCATCATTCACAAACCCACAGCCATCGTTTACAAACTCACAGCCATCATTCATTCACAAACTCACAGCCATCATTCACAAACTCACAGCCATCGTTTACAAACTCACAGCCATCATTCAGTCAAAAACTCACAGCCATCATTCATTCACAAACTCACAGCCATCGTTTACAAACTCACAGCCATCATTCATTTACAAACTCACAGCCATCATTCATTTACAAACTCAACGCCATCGTTTACAAACTCACAGCCAACAGTTACAAACTCACAGCCATCGTTTACAAACTCACAGCCATCGTTTACAAACTCACAGTAACTTTTCACAAATCCATCGCTGCCATTACGTACATAGCTGAAGAGACATATATTTGTATAAAGTTATCATGTTCCCTCTGAGGTGATGTTTCTCGAAACTAACAAGATTTAAATTTGTTAACCTTTCTTCATAGCTGATATGTTCCATTCCTTTTATTAATTTTGTAGCCCGCCTCTGCACTTTTTCTAGTGCCAAAAGTGGACAGCATATTCAAGGTGTGGTCTTACCAGTGATTCATAAAGAGGCAAAATGATATTCTCGTCCCGAGAATGAATGCCCCTTGTGACAGAACACCCCGCCACTTGTTTCATTCTGCTCCAGCTCATGAACTTGGTTTCTCCCTCCATTGGCTTCCCTGTACCCCTTTGTTCATTTCCCGATTGTGGGAAACGTGTTCCTGTTTAATACCCCCAAACCCAGATCACCCCCTGGTTAATTATCATCAATAGAAGTCTTTAACTCGAGTGGTCTCTCTGGGTAGCCGCCATTCGAATGACCGAACACGTGCTTTATGGGAAAACACTCATTCATCTGAGGGGAGCATTCGCTCCCTTAGAGCCAGGGGGGACCCTTCAATCTGGTCCACACAAGAACTCCCGGTCAGAATTTTACCCTGATGGTAATTTCTTTCCACTGAATGGATCTGAGCGCTATTTGGACACCTTGGGTGCTCAGATCCGAGCTATCCCTGGATATATTACTTGAGAGGTCCCTGTGAAAGTTGAATGTGATTTGGGGGTGTTTTTCTGTACTTTATGTATGGTTCCCTGTAACAGAGATAATTGAGTTACCAGTCTTTGACTCAATTATCTCTCAGACACAGGGACGCCAGGGAGGGGTTTGTGTTATTTTCTATGGAGATCTCATGCTGGCGGTCTGTGTAGGAATTCTGTGTACCCAGACTGAATAAACCAGATATACTCCCAGCATTAAGTCTCAACTAATGTTTGAGGGGAATAAGCTATTCACTGCTATAATCACTGAAGACGGCACTGACGGAGGCACTGGAAAGGGGAAAAGATGACTTTGGTTGTGAGACTCGAGTCACTTACCTTACTGGCCTTGGCCACTGCTGATTGACATTGCACATCGTTGCCTAGTTTGTTGTCTATAACAATTCCCAAGTCCTTCTCGTGTGTTGTTATCCCTAATTCACAAACAGGAACAGTATCAGAGTTTTTGAGATCTTGGGGAGAAAATATATCGGCATTTCTAAACAGTGAGTTTTCTTTTGTTTTATAGTTTTCAGACTGAAAAGATGTTTTGGGTTTTAACTTGACATATAGAGAGTTATCATTGTTATTATGTTTAAATATGGCAGTAAAGTAAACCGAAATATTATGGGACATTTTCACTAAATGCGCATTTGTGTCAAACACACGAAAAGTTCCAACAACATAAAGTCCAATGTAGAACCCAAAAGAAAAGGAGTTAAATACGTAGAAAGGAAAGTCTCCGTGTGGATAACGTCTAATTAACATTCCTTTGGTAGAGGAAGTTTTGTTTTGAACTTGACTCATCAGGACCTGCTAAATAATTGATCATTGTCCTGAGCTTCTCATTGTGTCTCTTTAGAGGTGATTAGTGCAGGGAACATTCAGCTGCCAAGTGGAATAAATCACATCTGATTAACATTATCAACGCCAGTCGTATTTACATAACTGCACTTCCTATTTCATTAATACAAAATAATTTACTAAATTATTAACATATTGATGCCTCCTCGATAATCCACATAATCTTATCCCCCTGTTATTAACAACATAAATAAAACTAAACCTCTATTGAAACACACTCTGCTATAATCATCACTTCTTTCCCTTTCTATGAAGGGACACTTCCTGCAGAATAATAGAACTTCCTCCCTTTTTAATAGACACACTTCTTGTAGAATAATCTAACTTCCCGCTTATTAAAGAGGACACTTCCTGCAGAATAATATAATTTCCCGCTTATTAAAGAGGACACTTCCTGCAGAATAATATAACTTCCTCCCTAATTAATGAAGACGCTTCCTGCAGAATAATATAACTTCCTCCCTAATTAATGAGGATACTTCCTGCAGAATAATATAAATTCCCCCTTTTTAATGAGGACACTTCCTGCAGAATAATATAACTTCCTCCCTAATTAATGAGGATACTTCCTGCAGAATAATATAAGTTCCCCCTTTTTAATGAGGACACTTCCTGCAGAATAATATAACTTCCTACCTTGTTAATAGAGACACTTCCTGCAGAATAATATAACTTCATTCCTAATTAATGAGGACACTTTCTGCAGAATAATATGACTTCCTCCCTTATTAATGAGGACACTTCCTGCTGAATAATAAAACTCCCTTGTTAATAGAAACACTTCCTGCAGAATAATAGAACTTCCTACCTGGTTAATAGAGACACTTCCTGCAGAATAATATAACTTCCTTCGTAATTAATGAAGACGCTTCCTGCAGAATAATATGACTTCCTCCCTAATTAATGAGGACACTTCCTGCTGCATAATATAAGTTCCTCCTTTATTAACTAGGACACTTCCTGCAGAATAATGAATAATGATATGACTTCCTCCCTTATTAATGAGGTCATTTCCTGCAGAATAATATGACTTCCTCCCTAATTAATGAGGACACTTCCTGCAGAATAATATGACTTCTTCCCTTATTAATGAGGACACTTCCTGCAGAATAATATAACTCCCTTGTTAATAGAGATACTCCCTGCAGAATAATATAACTTCCTATCTTTTTAATAGAGACACTTCCCGTAGAATAATATAACTTCCTCCCTTATTAATGAGGACACATCTTGTCGAATAATATAGTTTCCTTCCTTATTAACAGAGATATTTCCTGCCAGGGAAATTGAATAATACAACTTCCTTCCTTGTTAATATAGATAGTTCCTACCAGGGTAATGGAATAATATCACTTCCTTCCTTATTAATGGAGATACTTCCTGCCAGGGTAATAGAATATTATCACTTCCTTCCTTATTAATGGAGATACTTCCTGCCAGGGTAATATAATATTATCACTTCCTTCCTTATTAATGGAGATACTTCCTGCCAGGGTAATAAAATATTATCACTTCCTTCCTTATTAATGGTTATACTTCCTGCCAAGGTAATGGAATATTATCACTTCCTTCCTTATTAATGGAGATACTACCTGCCAGGGTAATGGAATAATATCACTTCCTTCCTTATTAATGGTTATACTTCCTGCCAAGGTAATGGAATATTATCACTTCCTTCTTTATTAATAGAGATACTTCCTACCAGGGTAATGGAATAATATCACTTCCTTCCTTATTAATGGAGATACTTCCTGCCAGGGTAATGGAATAATATCACTTCCTTCCTTATTAATGGAGATACTTCCTGTCAGGGTAATAGAATAATATCACTTCCTTCCATATTAATGGAGATAATACCTGCCAGGGTAATGGAATAATATCACTTCCTTCCTTATTAATGGAGATACTTCCTGCCAGGGTAATAGAATATTATCACTTCCTTCCTTATTAATGGAGATACTTCCTGGCAGGATAATGGAATATTATCACTTCCTTCCTTATTAATGGAGATACTTCCTGCCAGGGTAGTAGAATATTATCACTTCCTTCCTTATTAATGGAGCTACTTCCTGCCAGGCTAATAGAATATTATCACTTCCTACCTTATTAATGGAGATACTTCCTGCCAGGGTAATATAATATTATCACTTCCTTCCTTATTAATGGTTACACTTCCTGCCAATGTAATGGAATATTGTCACTTTCTTCCTTATTAATGGAGATACTACCTGCCAGGGTAATGGAATAATATCACTTCCTTCCTTATTAATGGAGATACTTCCTGCCAGGGTAATAGAATATTATCACTTCCTCCCTTATTAATGGTTAAACTTCCTGCTAAGGTAATGGAATATTATAACTTCCTTCATTATTAATGGAGATACTACCTGCCAGGGAAAAGGAATAATATCACTTCCTTCCTTATTAATAGAGATACTTCCTACCAGGCTAATGGAATAATATCACTTCCTTCCTTATTAATGGAGATGCTTCCTGCCGGGGTAATAAAATATTATCACTTACTTCCTTATTAATGGAGATACTTCCTGCCAGGGTAATAAAATATTATCACTTACTTCCTTATTAATTGAGATACTTCCTGCCAGGGTAATAGAATATAATCACTTACTTCCTTATTAATGGAGATACTTCCTGGCAGGGTAATAGAATATTATCACTTACTTCCTTATTAATGGAGATACTTCCTGGCAGGGTAATATAAAATTATCACTTCCTTATTAATGGAGATACTTCCTGCCAGGGTAATATAATATTATCACTTCC